AGGTCCTGAGGAAAAGAAGGTTGCTCGAACAGGTGACCAATTATGAAACAACTCAGCGCCACCCTCGACAGAGGCTACAGTCCTAATGGGACCACACGATGAAGATGACTATAGTGATTATAACTTCGATGTCGATCACGATGAGAACTGTTGTGATTTCCAGTACCGTTTTTATTTCTGTCTGTTGAAATTTTGAAGACAAAAGGCATAATCCCAACCGTTTCTATTCCTTGACTGTTGCAGAAGATGAGTCTTCTTTTATGCATACGATAAAACTCATCAACAGTGTGAGAAAACATCTGCTTGAATGACGATCTGACGATATATCAGAGTTTTTCTTATTTAACCAAATCTAATCGACCGCTTATGCACAGTTTCAAGACCGAAGCGCAAGTACATGAGTGAATGAATTTATTAGGAACTCCACACATTAAAATAATCCCGGTATTATGGGTTTACTAGCAATTAGCTGGTTTCTTGATACCGTCGGTAAGAGTAGCATTCTCCTATAAATTTTTCGAATCTTAAATAGCCTAAGCGTACCATTTCCTTGCTTCTGGTAACCTGGGGGGGGGCATTCAGGCAAGTCTAATTCAATGGTTCACTGGACCGTTAGAAACAAAGAGACCGTGTTCATTCGCTTTATCAGATTAGGGGAATTGATAGGAGGATTTGATCTCCATGTCTTCTACATGATTTTCAATGCCTTCTCCTGTTCTACTGAACAGTTGTTCATTTGAAATTTGTGTTTAGTCTTCGTCTTTATGCCACTTTGTGTGCCAAGTATCACGGAAAACTTCCTGTCACGGATGACATTGTTACGGAGTAAACGACCGGTCGAGCACTGTGCGAATTTGTACTTTAATTTCCGGTTTGATTTCACCGCAGCACACCTCTTCTGTGTTTAGGCACTCCCTAAGATATACACACAGTAGTTGTGCATATTTCCTTGCCACGGTGATAACGTGGGAATTTGCGACATCCTGTTTAAAGCACATGGAAGGAAAGTCATTTTTCTAAGCTCCATTATAGATCACGTGTCTGTGATGCTTTGCAGTTCCAGAGAACACCGTACAACAGTCAATCCTGGGGTTAACGTCGTTATTTTCTAATCGTGTCCTTGACTATTGTGCAGTTAACATGCAATAATAATGCTGTTTCTAAAGTTCTTACGGTATCTTCAATGAATGTGCGAATGTACAATGAGAATGTCTGGGATTTCAATCAAAGTGACCCAAATATTTCAATCAATTCACGGCCGCTGGTGAACGATAATGTTCTCTATATCAACGTCCTTTTGGATATTGGACTTCTACTTAGCAAGGTTTATTAAACTGAAGGAGAAACAATCAAACACATAGTCGCCCGGTTATAAGGATTTCAGAATTTGTTAAGGTGTTTATTTAGTACCAAGTATCATTTCAATAAAACAGGAGGGTACAAACAGTGTTTGCTCATATAATTGTATATTTGGCTTTCATTCAGAAGGCATTCATGGCCAATGGCATTGAACTGGAAATGCTCAATACACCACAACCGAACTGAAAGAGGGCTGCAATGCCTTACAAATAACGCAGATATATGAAAAGCAAATAGTTCATGGTTATAAGCGTTTAATATCATATAATCTTTACGCCTACGTTTTTTTTTAAATTGGATGGTTTGAGAAAACTGCTACGTTCATTTTGCATTCTATTAGACACATATTAAAACAGGAAATGTGCTCATATGGGACATCTGACTTTTGAGCAGTCATTCATTATTTTTTATGTAGGAAATATACAAGAAAATATTGAAAACTATCAGCAGAACAAACATATAATGTCTGAGTGTGTATTTATTCAGTTAATTCCATCTTCGTTTTATTTTAGAACGTAGGACCAGAGGGGAATTTTGTTCAAAACACACTGCTTATTCTTCATCATTTATGACCGCTTGTCCCAGAAGCAGAGACACGCCAGACAGTGTTTCTAGCGTTCCAGATCCTGTGTCAGTGTCGGCGAGTTTCGGCAAAATACAACTGGAATCTGGAGCAGCCTTCTTCCTTATATTTTCACCAGGTTAATCTTCGCCGTCCCCTGATCCTTCTGCCGGTCGGTTTCGCAACAAAGTTGTTTACGTTTCCTTTCTGGAGACATTTGCAACACATGCCCAAGCGATCGCAGCTATGACATCTCAACCTCGAGAAGCAGAGGCAGTAAACCAACACTCTCCCGAATTTTGGTATTCCGTACCATGTCGAGAGATGTAAGGCCAGCCACTCATCTCAGGAAGCTCACTTCAGCGTCTGCTACCCGCGTCCGAAGTTATATTCATCGTCCCCCACTCATGATCGTATGTAAGCAGAGCGATAGAGATCGACTTGAACACCGAGTGCTTGGTTTCCAGACTGAGCTCTGCTTTCGTCACAACGGGTCGGGCTAGTTCACGCAGAACGCCGCTGGCTACAC